GTTTGAGGGTCCTATTAATCCCATTATGAAGATCATGCGCAAGACTATGCACCCTTTGTTGCACAACTACAAGAACTTGATGCCTGTTTGAATGAATGATCAACAGCAGATTGATAGCACATGCAGGGACAGAAGCAAGCCCAAAGAGGTTAGCCAGAACAAAGGACTGAAGTAACAACATGACCAGGAGCATGAAGATACTGCCTCGTTTATTCCAAATATTCCAAATTAGGCTTCCCTAGATTTGACCGGACAATTTGTGTTAGCATACCAACTGTGAGCATTTCTTAGAACACTGAAACACCTAAGAGGATGAACGAGTTAGGTTGGTTCCATTCCATCTAAAAATTGATGCACAAGCATGGTTCATCAAATTGGATTGGAGCATACAAGCACTTCCACAGGAAGAGTTTCAGCATTCCTGTCATTTGCATTTTCATCTTTCAATTAGAAATGACAAACCTGGAGGGTTTGTAAAATTGAAATAGACGACTTTAGTGGCGGAGTAGCACTGCCAGTTTAAGCTTTTATATATCAGGGCAAGTCGACTGACTTTGGAACAGGAAATGTAGTTTTTCTTGAGCAGCTTTTAGCCCTATATTGTTCTGAAGGTAGAACTCTGATGTGGTTAGACCCTTAAACAAGTTGGCTACTGTTCTTGAAAAGGCTAAGTCCTGTTCATCTGGAGTGGTCAAAAGCTATTCTATTAGGAGGTTAAAGATGGTGGTGACAAAAATACAAATTGGGATCTGGCCAACGAGTTTCGCCAATTCCTCTGAAGTGGAAAATCTCCATAATGCAATTTTTGGTGTCCACTCATCACAGATAATGCTGGTGCAAGAATCCTTGGAAGGTTTTCGATTACTGGTGTTAATATGCAATTATGCTTGGAGGGAACATAGGCATGCGGGTTATAGTTGCAAATGGAGAGAGTCTAGTTTGAAAGAGTTTGTCATGGGTTCCTCTTGCACATGGGTAATTTTGTCTTCCCAATTGATTTATTTACTCTCTCACTGGTTAAGGTTGTATTGCAAGCAATTAGGATTCCCTTCAGTTTCATCATATATTGTCTCAGAATTTGTTGCAATTTGATTCCAATTTGGGATGGTTGTCACTGACCCAATCATGTGACCACTGTATTATCTTAGAAAAGAGTTGCGCAGGATGGTGGTTACGCCTTGTCAATACCCTTACTTCCAAAAGGATGCATGGAGAAGCAATGTGAATAGATGCTGGAAAAGGAATCATTAAGCATAGTGACTTCACTTTTTCTTCACTAGTATTGTTAGTTAAAAAAGCATATGGTACTTGGGGATATTGTATTCATTACTGGGCTTTAAATGCTAAAACTATTGAGGATGAGTTCACAGAGTTGGATGTATGCTCCGCTTATCGTCAAATTGAAAAAACAACTCTTTGGACTCATCATAGGGATTTCTACTCTATGATAATGCCGTTGGTTTAAAAAATGCTTGATCGACGTTTCGATAATGAAGTCATTCACATGGTTCCTATCTCATAAGATTTGTTCTTCTTGTATGATATTCTTATGATCCACTGCTGGTAGGTGGAACACATGCAGTACTTGTGGCTAATCTTTTCGGTTTTACAAACTCACTGCCTTTTCCTTGGAAATCAAGATGCTTGTTGAGAAAGCCTTAAGTCTCTTATTTGCATCATGTGATATCAGCTAAAGGGGTAGCTGCAGGTTCCAGCAAAGCTTCAAGGAAAATGAATAGGCTCCTGCCCACAACTTTTCTGTGGTTGTTAATTCTTTTGGCTTGTCAAGGTACTGTCATCTATTTTTTAAACATTATGGGTTCGTTTTGGCTCCCTTAACAGCTAAGTTGCAAAAAGTTCTTTCATGTGGAAGAACCAATCTGCAACTGCAGTTTGCTTTTCTAAAAACTGCAGTGTCCACTGAACTAGTATTTGATCTTGACTGTCTATTTTTGAATGTGATGCTTCTGATTCCCAAGTTTGTGTTGTGCTCCAACAGAAGGGGTGACCTGCGGCTTTCTTTAACCGTCGTTCAGCTTCCTGTGAGATGAAGCTTCTCATATGAGAAGGAATTAGTTCTACTAGCAAAAAATATCCGTCATTGATGTCTTTATTTGTAGTGAAGGCACTTCCTGATTCGAATTGATCATTATAGCCTTAAACTTTTCGTTCTAGCCAGGGATTACGGCATTCTCACAGAAGCATTGGATCAGTTAATTATTGGGTTTTGACTTCACAGTTGACCATCAAACTAGTAGAAAAAATATTGTCGTAGATGCCTGAAGGATTTTTGGCATTTGATTAATCTTAAGAAAAGCATAATCAGTTTACCTCCTAACTCTTCCTTACAATCTGCTTTGTTTTCTGTCATCCAAAATCAAGCACATGACAGGGTATTGGAGGACTTCAAGGCACTTAACTTCAAATTCTTATTGGTAGGGAATGAAGAAGCAAGTACAAGATTATGTAACACCTTTAGCCATTAGGTTCATTGCAACTTTTACTAGTGCTGGTGCAAATGTTGTCAGGTACTTCAGATAACACTTATGGTTTAGAAGTGCTGGTGCAGATGTCATCAGATACGTCAGAGAAATTCTTATGGTTTAGAAGTGCTGGTGCAACTTTAACTCAACCTTTCAAATAGTGTTATTGGTACACCAGAGAACACTTGCAAGCCATACCCTTGTTTAATAGGAACTTCGTGATGGTTTTCTTCATGCTCAAGTTTGACGAAGGCTTTTTATGATTCTCATCACCGTGATGTCTTTTTCAAGGAAGCTTTTATTTCAAAAGAAAAAGATTTTTTCAAGGATGGTGATCTTTTACTTTTGAAGCTTCAGCCTTATCACCAAGTCTATTTCTTATCTGCCTTTGTTACAAGATTATCTTCCTACTCAACCTGTGTTTGATTTCATACTTGAAATGGTCAACCTTAACTCGTTAAATTGGGAGGTTTTTCTCCAACTGATGCTTGCTGGGGATCTGTTAATCATATCCTACTTCATTATCCTGTTATTCTTTGGGGGCGAGGGGGGAGAATGTTTCTTGCAAATTCTGCAATTCTCCTTTCTAATACTTTGTAACTAGGCCTATAATTAGGTTCATATCAGTGAGATGTCTTTGGTTAAATTGCTGGTTCATTAGTGTTTGACTTGGAGGGCATAGGCCCAGGGATTGCTTTATTCACTTTTTTCTTTCAAAAAAATAAAAATAACAATAACGAGGTCCACATCAAGGGATCATACGAATTATCAAGGGTATCCTAGTTATATAATCCATACATAGGATGATAGTATTATGCATACAATGACAAAAAGATTCCTTCTTGTCAGGCCATTGGTTTTGGCCTTTCAGTTTACCATATAATCGTTTTTACTTGTTGAACAGGTGTGAGGACGATTCCCTTCCTAGCATAAGATGGGTTCTTGATCTTGCAAGATGTGCAGTTCTGAGGCATGGGGTGCGTGGGCTTGTAATTGATCCTTACAATGAGCTTGATCATCAGCGTCCTGTTAGCCAGTAAGTGCACGTTGAGCATCTGATTAATAAAATAGTTTCTGTATAAAAAAAAGCTTTTCTATCATTAGTTTTCTTATGTAATCATGATGATCATAAGAACTTGGTTATGATGCACAGGAGGTTTAATTACTTAGGTTTCTTTTGTCAAAGTACTTAGTTTAGAGGTGCTGACTTTAGGGTGGTGCAGCCATTATGAGCTTTTTTAGATCTTAAAATCTATGATTGAGTAACATAGCAGTATAAATACACTAATGACACATTGAATTTGCTGAATGAAATATATTTGGAATGTAATAGCCATTCATGATGAATTAAATGATGCTATAATGGAAATGTGGTTACATTACAATAACATCGCAATCAGCAATGCTTTATTATGATATTTGGTTTAGAAGTACTAAAGGTTGAAAGAAAATTCTTTTAAGTTATAAATTATAGTAATCTTTTCTATTGGATTTGTTTTAATATATATATATATATATTGTGTATATACATTAATTTAATAATATACTATTACATGATAAATGGACAAAGTTTCATGTAATTATTGTAACTAATAAAATTATGCATGTTATATTTAAATTTTTACTTATATTATTTTAATTTTGTAAAATTATAAAACTTCATATAACTTATCCTAAAAATTGCACATGGTTTGCACCCCTTGGTGCCATAGTAATATATATTTACACTTTTTATTTAAAAAAAAAAAAAAACTTATCCTAAAAATCTAGTAAGTTCTTCTTATGCTCAATTTTAAAAAATTAAAATAAATTCTTCGATGAACTAGAAATTTTCAAACATCTCATAACTATAAATTTTTTCATATTTGATAATTTCTAAATTTTGAAAATTTGTAATGGGCATTCCTTTTTCTTTAAGGGGAAGAATTACTACTATATAGGCATGTTGGTGGAGTGTACACCACTATATCAGTTCCCTCTCCGTATTCAATTCCCTGCAGGATAGCGAATAGAATTGATAATATCATGAAGTATTTCTTGTTGGGAGTGAGGCAAAAAATTATCTAGGCAGGGAAGCTGTTGGAAGCCAAAAGGGGAGATGGACTCTGGTCTTGGAAATTTAGTATCTAGAAGGAGCACCTTTGTGGATAAATCTTTTAATGAAAAATAATGCAGATATGGACCACAGTGAGATATGGCTATATGTTCAGGTATTTGCATAATGTGTCAACGGAGTTGGGGAGCAGATAATCATTTTCTCTTGCATGTTAAGGTGGAATGACAGTCATAGATTTAACTTTTTGCTGTCTTTTGTTCTTGGTTTTCCTTACTTGGAAGCTTTCTTATCCATTCATCTGATTTGTATATATATATATATATATATATATTTGCATGTGTGCATGCGCGAGCATGTGTATAATGATTCTGTTCATGATCATACGTCACCCTTGGTTTTTAGCTCAATTTTCCCTTTTTTTTAACATCAACTACATTTCTAATAGGACCGAGACAGAGTATGTGAGTCAGATGCTTACAATGGTCAAGAGGTTTGCTCAACATCACGCTTGCCATGTTTGGTTCGTTGCTCATCCGAGACAGGTTGGTTTCTGTTACCCTCTTGTTTGTTCTTATGTTTGCTTTGTTCTAATTTTATCTCTTGTTCAATAGTTGTATAATTGGGCTGGGGACCCTCCTAACCTCTATGATATAAGTGGAAGCGCACATTTTATAAACAAATGCGATAATGGGATCGTTATTCATCGAAATCGTGATCCAGATGCAGGGCCTGTTGATCATGTCCAGGTGGGTATTTATTTCCAGTTATGTTTATATCAAATCTTCATATCTTTTTATTGTTGCAATTGTCTTACACAAGGACGCCTACTGTGGAATTCATGGCTGTTGTATGCAGGTATGCGTGAAGAAGGTACGCAATAAGGTTGCAGGAACCATTGGTGATGCATTCTTGTCATATAATAGGTATGTATCCTGATCACCTACTTACTCATTGGATTAAGCATTGAAACAGGGAGGAAGTGGAGCTTGATATATCAAATCAAAACAAAGTAGAGCTTTATTAGCATCTCACCGTAACAATTTTTTTTTCCAACAACTAGATGATTATCTGCTTTAAAGTTTCAGTAAAAGGAATTTCTAGTGATAAATATTAATCTTCCTATCGAGGTTCTTTAGCTATTTCTGGTCTTGGTTTGTTTATCTTTTATCTTCTTATTCCTTTAATTTTGGATTTATGATGAATATCTTGGGTGGTCGTTGACTGAATTAAAGTAAGACTCTTCAATAAATTTTCCATACTGCATTTTCTGTGATTGGATGCAAGCTCTTCGGTGAGATTCTTAAACTATATTCAATCTTGATCTGGTATTTTTGTTCTGATATATAGATGTACGTTGAATCTTTTATTTGGCCAATTACTAAATTAATTATTTCTCTTTGTTTCAATAATTATCTCTACTATATCAGAAACAACTACCAGGACTTTTCCCATTTTTTTTCATTTACAATTTCCTTTTTTTTTTCATTTACAATTTCCTTATTTATATTCATAGATGATTCAGTGCTTAGTGCGTTGGTATGGTCATGGAGCTCTATTTCTTACCTTTTAGAATCCAGAGGTTGTGTTCGGAACTTTTTTTTTCTTTTTTTGTTGGACATGGTAGAATACTATAAACAAGGCACCCAAAGGATCTGCCATTTGCAGAATTTAGAGCATTGTAAATTGATTAAAATATTAATAAGATCTCCTGAATCCTCGTAAAAAGCAAGATGATTATGGGATGTTCCAACTGAGAAGAATTTCGAAGTTATACCTGCTCTGTGCAGTTTCACGGAACAACCTCCAAATGCAAATTATGGCCTGTTTTACCTCTCTCTCTCTCTCAAAATCATAAGTTCTATGCTGTTGTTTCATTGTTCCCTTTTATTATTTATTTTTGCACAAGTTTGGTTCTTTTTCTGAACAAGGCTCCTTATACCACAAGAATGAAAGCACTCCTAGACCACAAAAACTGAAGCACTATCTTCCAGATTTCGGACAGAAAAAGAACTGGTTCGCTAAGAAAAAAGAAAGAAAAGAAAAAAGAAATGCTGACTTACCTTTTTCTTTTGTTGTTCAATAGAAAAATGACAAATTCAATGAAGTTCAGAAAAGTTAATTAGATTTGCTCTTCAAAGACAACCGTGTCACTTCCTGCTTTCTGTAGGAGTCACTTAGAAAAATCATCTGCTCTTAATTTCTCGTTGTTACTATTTCACTGCGATTATCAACTTAACCATTCTATTGACTTTGTAAACTTTAGCACTAACCGGAAGGCACTCTTGGCGTAAGTTTGATTAGCTTCGTTGCATCTGCTGCTTGATTTCTTGAGTTAACACGTTTGTCTTATCTGTCTCTCTCTCTCTCTCTCTCCATCCTCTTATGTTTTGTCAAGCTACTGTTGTTAGTGATGATTTGTTCACATACAATTTAACAGAGTCACTGGTGAATTCGAGGACGTTGAATGAATAGCCAGAGAAATAGGCTGCTACATTCGACAATTTTCTTGTGATGCAAGGCTGTACAGCGAGGTGTCTCAACAATATCCGGTTCCATTCACGGTGTTCGCTTAGACAGTTCCTGCTCTTCACACTACGCCAATTCTTGTGATCTTTACCGAGCAGACTGTTCATTGATCCCACCGTGTGTAAATTTTATCTAGGTTTTTGTTAATCTTGAACAAGTACAGCTAAACAGCTTAAGAGTTATCTGGTAAATCTTATATCTATGATATATACATACATCTTTTGGGTGTATTGTTGTTGTAGATGGAGATGATAAATTTTGTCCATTTTGTTCTGAATCTCTTGTCTGTAGTAGGATATTTACTGCCCTGTTCTTTTTCTTTTTGCTGATGCTTTGATTTGAACATTGGAAATCATTGAGAAAATATATGGTCTAAATTCATATATAGAATATAAGCATACAAAAATTTGCAGACATTTATGGATTCCATGTATTGCTGCCAGTGGAGTGTATGAATTAGAATACCTGACAACAGAGTAGGGACATTAATTTGATGGTGATATAGGAGGGATCACATGGAGCTTGTCATATATCAAACTGTCATCTGTGAATATATATATATATATATAGCTATATATGTATATATATATATATATAATAGGGAATATGCACATGCCAATTCTTCAATTTTTTAGAATTATTTTACACTTAATATCATAATATATAATAATAAATTGTTTAATTTTTTTAAGTATTAAAAGAATTTTTAAATATATTTTGGACTAAAACTATATTATTTTATATTTAATGAAATGTATATAAAATAATAGGTTGCACCGCTCATTTGCTAAACCTGAGCACATATTAGCACTACCCATTGGAGCCGTTGGGTTAACTCAGTGGGGTCGACCGTACCTGATCATTTCCCGATTCCTTTCGGCCGGTGGGGCCCAAACGTTCTTCCAACGCCAAAAACTTGCTGGCTTCCAGGCTAGCAAAACCCTTGGGCAAATCAAATAATCTCCAACGGCTCATCTGCGGTGGCTCCAGGTATGTTATGTTACCGTTGGTGGGTCCCACTTTCCTTCTTTCGAAAAATATGTAACCGTTACAAAACCCTCATTTTCTCCCCAGCCAAACAAGAAATAAGAAACCAGAGTTCGCTCATTTCTTAAAACCCACAACCGCCGAACCGGTCCTTGAGGTGGGTGTTTTTTCTTTTTTCATCATTTTCTCTCTCTTTTCTCACTTCCCAAACAAGGTTCTTGCTTTTCTCTTTCTCATTCCGAAAGTTTCTTGCTTGTTCTGGGTGTAACATATTTAGCAAGAAACAATGACTGTGGAGGCTGTTAAGGTTGAAGAGAAGCAGATGGATGAGGTTGCAGTTCCTCAAGAGGAGTGCGAGAAGGTTGTTGAAGCTGTTGATGAGCAAGTTGTGGAGTTGGATGAATCCGAGCCCAAGACAGTGGAGAAAAGTTCTTCTTTTAAGGAAGAGAGCAACTTTCTCTCGGATCTTAAAGAGTTTGAGAGGAAAGCTCTGAGTGATCTTAAATCCAAGATCGAAGAAGCGATTCTCGATAACAGTTTGTTTGAGAAAGAAGAATCCAAAAAGAAGGGGAGTGAAGTGGAAGAGAAGGAAAAAGCTGTAGCAGAGGTGAAAGGAGGAGGAGAAGAAAAAGAGGAAGCTGAAAAGCAGGAGGAAGAGGAGAAGAAGATTCCTGAGTTGGGTAGTGAAGGAAAAGGGAAAGAGATTGACGGGGAAATCAAAATCAGTCTTTGGGGAGTGCCTCTTTTGCCTAGCAAAGGAGAAGAGAGTACTGATGTTGTACTGTTGAAGTTCTTGAGGGCAAGAGAGTTCAAGGTAAATGATGCATTTGAGATGCTGAAGAAGACCATTCAGTGGAGGAAAGATATCAACATGGATTCTATCTTGGAAGAGGACTTTGGTTCTGATCTAAGCTCAGCTGCTTATATGAATGGTGTTGACCGTGAAGGTCATCCTGTGTGTTATAACATTCATGGAGTTTTTGAAAATGAGGAGCTCTACCAGAAAACTTTTGGCAGTGAGGAAAAGAGAATCAGGTTCTTGAGATGGAGGTTTCAGTTGATGGAAAAAGGGATTCAGAAGCTTGATTTAAGACCTGGAGGTGTTACTTCTCTTCTTCAAATCAATGATCTCAAGAATTCTCCAGGCCTCTCAAAGAAAGAACTGAGGATTGCCATGAAACAAGCTGTTTCTACTTTGCAGGACAATTACCCTGAATTTGTTGCTAGAAATGTAAGTCTTTTTACATTAAAGTTACATTTTTTTTCCTTCTTTCCATAACTCATGCTTGATCTTACCTAGCTTTTATTACTTCTAATATTAAAAGTAGGAATCTTTTTCAGTTAGATTTTGTGAATATGATGTGCAGATATTTATAAATGTTCCATTCTGGTACTTTGCTCTCAATGCTTTGTTATCTCCTTTCTTAACACAAAGAACCAAGAGCAAGTTTGTTGTTGCTCGTCCTGCTAAAGTTACAGAAACCCTTTTCAAGTAAGTATTTTCTATTCAGTACCCATTAAAAAGGATTTGATTTTGACTCCATTAGAACCTCAAAACCTTAAATTGTTTGTGTCTGGACCTCAACAGGTATATTTCAGCTGAGGAAGTCCCCATTCAATACGGTGGTTTCAAGAGGGAGAATGATTTGGAATTCTCCACTGAAGATTCTTCAGTCTCTGAACTTGTAATCAAATCTGGATCAACAGAAACCATAGAAATCCCTGCCAACGAGGTACTCAATATCATTCAATTTGCAATTTTAAGTAGTTGACTGAACCGATTTTCCTGAAAACTCTTAAGCTGATGAATATCAAATTGATTCTTTTCCCTTTCTCGTGAACCCAAATTGGGTTATATATCAATCCAAATTGTGTAATGAAATTGGAACACTGACAGATTGACAGTAAACTGGTGTGGGACTTGACTGTGTTGGGTTGGGAAGTGAATTACAAGGAAGAATTTGTGCCAGCAGATGAAGGGTCTTATACCATCATTGTTCAAAAGGGGAAGAAGATGAGTTCCAATGAAGAACCAATTAGGAACAGTTTCAGGAACAGTGAGCCAGGGAAGATTGTTCTGACTGTACAGAATTTATCGAGCAAGAAGAAGAGAGTCTTGTATAGGTACAAGATCAACAAAGGCGGCTCCTTTTAGGAAGAAGAAAACTTAATCTTGTTTATTTCCATATTTTTTGCTTTTTATTTCTTCTGGTATATCAAATATTGGTATTGCATTCTTTTATTTTATTTTTGATAATATGTTTTGTTTATTAAAAGGATGATACTAAAATTGGAATTCATTTGTTAATTTTATTTTATTTTATTTTGTATTCGTTTGAAGAAAGTTACTCGGCCCAAGTAACTTTCTTAATTTAACCACACAACAAAAGAAAAATGTATCTACTATGAAAATTATGGATCAAATATGATTAACGATTGAGAGCATGCGGCTTAATTTAACAACAATAAAGAAAAAATGTATCTACTATGAATATTATGGATTGAATATAACTAATAATTGAGATAGTGAACTCTTAAACTTAGTCATGAAGGAAAAATGTATCTATTATGAATATTATAGATTGAATATGACTAACGATTGAGATAGTGAACTCTTAAACTTAGTCATGAGATTTTGAGAAGAGTTCCTGTGTTCGGGGAGGAGTCTATCGTTGGCCTCTATGGTAGAATCAGTCGGGAGCCTGATAGCGGTGGTTTACCCTGTGGCGGATGTCAGCGGTTCGAGTCCGCTTATCTCCAACTCGTGAACTTAGCCGATACAAAGCTATATGATAACACAATAAAGGACAAATGTATCTACTATGAATATTATGGATTGAATATGACTAACAATTAAGATAGTGAAACTCTTAAACTTAGCCATGAAGGAAAAATGTATCTATTATGAATATTATGGATTGAATGACTAACGATTGAGAGTATGCGACTTAATTTTAACACACAACAAAGGAAAAATGTATCTAGTATGAATATTATGGATTGAATATGACTAACGATTGAGATAGTGAACTCTTAAACTTAGTCATGAAGGAAAATTTTAATTTTTCTCTCATTCTCTTTTGATCAAGGATGTCTTCAAGTTTTCTAGTGTCAGTTAAAGTAATTAGGATGAAGGAGAAAAACATATTTAGAGAATTTCTCATCTTGGAGAACAAATGTGTGTCAGATGTAAAAGACAATAACTAAAATAAGAGATTATGGGTTCGAGTCAGATTTAAAATGTTACTTCTGTAATATTATAATGATTGAATATATATCATTTAATTAATAAATGTATGAATTTATTTATAAACCTAATTAAAAAACTATTTAGAGAATTTCTCATCTTGAAGATCAAATGCGTGTCATTGAAGGAGATGCGCGGGCATAAAATGTATGAGCAAAAGACAATAACTAAAACAAGAGATTATGAGTTCGAATCAGATTTAAATGTTACTTCTATAATATTATAATGATTGAATATATATATCACTTAATTAATAAAATGTATGAATTTATTCAAAAAAATTGACAAATTAAAATATGAAATGTATTCATAAAGTTTAGATTAAGGGATGTAGATATGCAAAAAAAGTATAATGATTTTTACTCAAATATTAAGAAAAAAATCAAAACATCGTCTCTTTAAATCGAGCAAAAATTCTAGAACATAGAATGTAGATATGCAAAGAAAAATCGGCCAACATTTAAGGGACATGAAGGAAGGGGTTGTGGAAAATGGTGTCCTTCTCTACTCCCCTCACTATGTCCCTTCTAAGACATTACTATTATTTTCTACTCGACCTACATGAGTATCGAAAATTGTTTACTACCTAATCTCTAATCCTACTCTGTGAATGTTCCTCTATAAATGAATAAAGGGTTTTTCTACTTGGGAAAAGTTAGCATATGCCTTCGAAATCATGTTAAAATAAATAAGAATTTCAAGACCTACAATATGCTTCATTTAGGATATAAGATTGTTTGAGTAAATATTGTAATAATATGATGAGCGATCCAGTACGAAAATACGATACATTTCATTTGGGATAGGGTTGTCAGAGTAGATAATGTAGTAATATGATAAGTGATCGAGTAGAAAAACGAGATATGTATGTTTATCTTGATTTGAAACTAGGGTGCTGAACGCCTTGTGAATTTATCAGAATGAACTTAAACTTGAGGTTGAAGGTTTGTACTTTCGTATCGTATGTGTTAAGTACTTCGGTACTTCATATAAAAATAAATCATTTAAAATTTTTAAAATATTTAAATCAATTAATAAATTTATAAAAATAAATTTTCTTAATACTAATTGTAACTAATCAATACCCATGCTTTATCATATTTTTAGTTTACATTAAATTTTTAATTAATTTAAAAATATTATTAATTGTTTAATTAAAAAGTTAATTGAAGTTAAAATTATATGGTAATTGTATATGTTAGATATCTCCTTTTAACTTTTAGGAATTAAGTTGATATTACATCTTTGTAATATTAATTTGTATTTATTATTAAATATTATATTTATCTATTATTTTAAATTATATTTTATTTTAATTAATACTGAAATTATTACTTAAATTTTAGTTAATTATTTAAATATTATGTAATATTTTGTTCTTCGAGTATAGAAATAGTACGAATTTACATTTTTATTAATATTATTTCATGTGTCTTAAATGCATTGGCACTTTATGTAAAAAGTCTAACAAACATATATATATATATAAGTTAAATTTCGAGCTCTTATATCTTCTTAAGAAATTAAGTAGGTAATATCTTTATAAATAATTCAAGTCTTTTTCAATTATCGAGTCATATATTGTGAAATAACATCTACCTCACTCAATTAAGAAACAAACTAAAAATTTAATTCGTTATTATATACTATTTATATAGATTTAACATCTACACGAGAGTGTCTAATTATTTTCTGTCGTATGTTATTTAAATATTTAGTCAAAATAAGTGGTTACTGATATAGATCGGTAATACAGTATGGACTATTAAGCAACGTGAGTTATATATAACAAGAGTATCCAAATAGATCTTTCCTCATGGTCAGAGATGTAATAAATTATTTCTACGTCTTTGTCCTCACGATGCCCGCTGTATATTGGAGATTTCTCTTAGTAGATGACTTCAATTGATTACTTGATATGACCAACACAAAAAAATGAGAGCTTCACAGCATTGAGGATCATCGTCTTGTGTTTCTGGCTTTCCTTGGAAAAAGATTTGGCATTCTTAGCTTCTTCCTAAGGCTAGACACTTAAGTTTGGAAGTTGTGCTGCTATATTTTGCCACGTCTAACTCGTTTAGTATAGGAACGTATACCCATTGATACTCATCGTCTAATGTTTGGGAGAAAGTTGAGAGATTTTAAATCACTTTATGATTGCTCCAATGCGATACGAGTTGAGTCCCTTAATACATGACGTTTTTTGTATCGTTGTGCTTTTGGCTTTTGATTAAGGAAAGTGTCTCAAAAACTATTTAAAATAAACGTTCAGGATTCATGTTGATCTTACGTGACTTTCAACGGGCCAAAACAATTAAGTGTATAATACCATAAAAATATTGATTCTCTTCAATCGACCCATTATCTTTAGGTATGGTTCTTAAATATGTAAGCAATTCAACAATAAGATGTTGTTGATATATCTATAATCTCATAAACGTATATGATTGAAGAATCATGGATTTTATGTTGAGTTAATTCTAACGTATATCTGGTTGTTAGACGATTGAACAAATATTATATATATTTTTAAGAATTCTATTA